TAAATCTTTAAAAAAAATTAAAAAAAAAGACTCATCTCTCAAAGCAAAGAAAATGAAGGAAAGATAAACAGCTGGGACTACATCAAACTAACAAGCTTCTGTACAGCAAAAGAGACAAGAATCAAGATGAAGAGACACCCCACAGATTGGGAGAAAATATTTGCATTCCACAAAACTGATGAGGAACTGATATCAAAGATCTACAAAGAGCTTACACAACTCAACAAAACCAAAATAAACAATGCAGTCAAAAAATGGACAGACGGGCTAAAAAGACAAAGAGGAAATGCAGATGGCCAACAGGTATATGAAAAAATACTCAACATCCCTTATAATAAGGGAAATGCAAATCAAAGCCACAATGAGATATCACCTCATACCAGTAAGAATGACCCACATTTAAAAAACTAACAACAACAAATGTTGGCGAGGATATGGCAAAAAAGGAACCCTCTTATACTGCTGGTGGGAAACTGGTCCATCCACTATGGAAAGCTGTGTGGAGGACATCCAAATTATTAAAAATGGATCTGCCACATGACCCAGCAATTCCACTCCTAGGAATCTACCCAAAGGATATGCAAATATTAATTCAAATGGATATCTGCACTCCTATTTTCATTGCAGCACTATTTACAATAGATAAAATATGGAAAAAACCTAAATGCCCCCAAAAAGATAACTGGATCAAAAAGATGTGGTATATACACACCGTGGAATACTACTCAGCAATCAAAAGGGTAAACTTATGCCATTCACAGCAAAATGGTCGGAGCTGGAAGGGATTATGCTCAGTGAAATAAGTCAGAAGGAAAATGAAAAATATCGGATGGTTTCACTTCTAGGAGGAATACAGGGAAACCATACGAGGGATCAGAAAAAAAGACAAAACTATCAAGAAAATTATAAATTGGAGACATTCAGAGGAGAGGGGGAGGGAGCGGGATCAAAACGGGAAGAAAGAACATAAGAGTTTATGGTGATAGCTCACTGTTGACTTGGTGGTGGGAATTTTATGGGGACAACACCTGAGAGGAGAAATTAAACATTGTACAAAAATGAACAAAGATTTAAAAACATATTTTTTTAAAAGAAGTGCTATTTTTATCCTTGTTATTAAGTGAGGAAATTGAGGCACAGAGAAGTTAAGTAAATTGTCCAAAATTACCACACTAGTTAAGCGGTAGCAGTAGCATTTGAGCCTAGGCCTGCAACCTTTATTTATTTTTTTAGATCATTGTTCATTTTTGTACAATGTATGCTTGTATGCTTTCTCCTTTCATGTGTATTCTCTGTAAAATTCCCTTAACAACTAAGACAAGCACATATCAGGTGATTATTAGGATTTTGTTCAGTGAATACAACTGTAAGAAAATATGAACTATAAGTGTGCATATGAATCAAAATACATGTGCACTGTATACAAAAACAATGTTCCCCAAAATTGTGTAAAAGCCTATCCTTTGACAATTTCAAGTATTTTAGCAGTGTGCCCAGCACATTATAGTTTGAAGAGTTAATTTGCACTGTGTACTAAGTGTTCCTGCTGCTCAAAGTAACTTGTAGTGATCCATTTTGTTGTGTTAAGGACCCTTTTGTCATGTCAACAAGCAAACAGGTTAGTTCAATTTATGCAATTAATTTTTTCACATGCTGGCTTTTTGAAAGCAGGAAGGATTGGTAAATATCCTTTTGTAGATCCTGTTTCAATCCCCAATAACCCACCCTCTACCCCATCCCCACCCCTCCAACCATAACCCTGGAAAAGAGAGTTGGTGCCCTCTTCTGGGGGTTTGGGCCAGTAGCATACATCAGGCCCAGGGAGGGGAGGGAGATATTTCCAGGAAATAATCTTCTCAACTTCTTTCAATTTTGGTTATACGAATGGGGTTGGTATTGGATCTTTTTCTGAAAAAAAGAATTTGAATCATTTTTGAAAATAAGAAAGCCGACCTATTGAATTGTGAAGCCCTGGTAGGTGGAGGGATGGAGTGAAAATTCAGCTGAACACATTAGAAGATGCCGAGCACATATTTCTTTCTGTCATGTACACTTTATATAACTTTAAAATCATAGGCTACTAATAGTGAATTTTACCATTTATTTAGGATTATGCATGTATTATATACTTTATATGCATTATATGATATAAATCTTACCACAACCCTGGAAAGTGAAGCATAGACCCAATTTACAGTTAAGAAAGCTAAGATGCAGACAGGTTAAGCAACAGTCAAAATTGGCAGAACCAGGAATTCAAATTGAAATCATGCTCTTTCCAGCGTAATATATTGTCTCTTCTGACTTCTTTTGATCCTGTATCAAAATCTCACTACTAAGAGATGGCAGAAAAATATTCTTGACAGATATAATCCCAATCCAATACCACTGAAACATCAAAGAAAACTGTACCCCAAACTTTTATAGGAACCCTTTGTTAGTTGTCCCAAAGACTCGTTCTTTTATTTAGTTATGTCAGCTAGAAAGATGAGAAGTTTAAATTGGTAACAGATAGAGGTCAAGGGCCAAAGAGAATGTTAGGGAGGCAGAGAGGGGGTAAGAGGAAGAAGGAGTGGTATGGATACATAGGACAGAGAAGCTTCTTGGCTGTCTCTCCACAACTTATGAGGCCAGAAGGAGAGCACAACTTGCTATCAAATGTAATAACCGCCAACCTGTCATGAGTACTTTGTGACAAGTACTCTTTTGAGTATCTTACACGTATTAACTCACATAATATTCACAAAATCTTATGAGAGAAAACTTTTGATTAATCCCACTTTACATGTTATAAAATTGAAGCAGAGAGGCTATGGTTTCTACTTAAGAGATGATAGAACTGGGGCACAGAGAAGTTGATGAATTTGGCCAAGGTTGAGCTAACAAGCTGTAGAGTTGGAATTTAAACATAGGATTCTAACTCCACAGCCATATTTTTATTCACTTTGATACAGTACTTGCCCCAGTCTGTTGGAAAGATATAAGTATTGTTTCAGGAAATGTTTACTTCAAGTAGATATGTATGCATGTGAGCATGTGTGCACTTGTCTTTGTACTGGCTTGTAATGTAAACTGCATTTATTCCTGTGAGGCACAGCCAAAAATGGCTAAAAGCTACTACTCTAGCAATAGTATTGTTCAATTGTGCATCTTCAAAATCACTAGAGATGATGCCAGATTGCGCTCCAAAACAATGGAACCAAATCATTCCCCTGCAGCGTAAGAGTTACCTGTGTTCTGCGGTCTTACCTGAACTTAATAGCGTCAGAGTTTTAATGCGTTGTCATCAAATGAGTGTGGAGTCATATCCTACATGGCTTGAATTGCATTTTTTAGTTTCTATGACATCTTTTCGTGTGTTAGCCATTCATTTTTGCCTTCTACGAATCATCTGTTTATATCCCTTGCTTGTATTTTATTGTATGCGATATAAGGGTATACCACACTCACAGCAATACTCTAAAGGAAACAGCAGTACAGATTAAGAAAGTCAGGCTGGGCCTCCCTGATGGCCTAGGGGTTAAGTCTTATGCTATCACTTCTGTGGCCTGAGTTCAATCCCCAGCCAGGGAGTTAACTCACATATGGGCCAGCAGACCTCTCCTATCTCGCCCACTGCTCCCCCTCAGCAGTGTATTTCAGTAGATGTGTCATCTGCCTGCTCTGCTCCCCACTCTGTCTCTGTTGAATTCGATCACCTCCCCCCCCACCTTTGGCCTATATCCCAGATCTTCTACGTACAAAAGAAAACAAAAAAAAAAAAAAAAAAAAAGAAAGAAAGTCAGGCTGGGAGAAACCTTGCTTAAATTCGCCCAGTTGAGTTAGGATGTGAATTCAGAACCAGAGGCCCATCAGTCCATGCCTTATATTTTACAAAGCACACCAGGGAATAAGCCATGTTACAAAAAAACAAAGGAAGGGAAGAAATAACTTTGAGCATGTAACCACCTCTCATGTGTCTAGCTGGATTTTGTGTAATTAACAAATTATTTCCTTGTATCCTCACCATACCTTGTGAGATAAAATATGTCATCTCCATTTTACAGAAAAGAAGACTGACGCTCAGAGAAGTGAAGAAATTTGCTTGGTGAGGTTAAGTTACTTTTGAGAAGAGACGGTCACAGTTCAAACACAGGTCTGCCTGGTTAGAGTCCACACCTGCTCCAGAGCAACAATTCCTGCCCATAAATACTCTTGATATGAAGTAAAAAGTTTCCCACATGTCAAATCTGCTTCATCTACATTTCCACAACTTGACCTCCTCCCACTTCCTCTCTGGAGCCCCAAACAAACTACTTCTGCTTGGATAGGACGAGGGCTTTATCTGCCACTTTTCTGCAGGCTCCTGGCTGGGGGCAGCCTTAACTAACCAGTCCAGCCTTGATGCTTCACATTAACCAGCCAGATGAGGTGAGCGCCCGGCCAGTGTCCACAAACCCATTTCCACTGCCCCAGGCTTCTCTAATGAAGCTCACATCAATCTCAACACCTTCTAGGTAAACCGGAAATTTCTATAGTAAGCCAGAAAATTCTAAGTCCTAAACCAGAAAATTCTAAGTGAGTGTTCTCAAGTGTGGGTGCACATTAAAATCACCTGCAGAGCTTAAAAAAAGAAAAAGCTCTGATGTCCTGGTAACACCCCAGACCTACTACATCAGAAACTCTGGGGATGGTATCCAGGCATCCACAGTGGTTAAGCTCTGCAGGTGATTCCAATGTATGGCCAAGATTGAGAACCACTGTTAAGGCAACTTCTTCAAGCCCTAGCAGCCAACTCGCATAGTGGTTTCCACATTTTCGTGTTTTCAGGACATCTGGTAGCATTTCTGAAGATTCAGGTTGTCGCATCCCATCCCCAGAGGCTTCATGGTTTGCTTGAGACCCAGCATCTGGGTTCTTAACAACCACTCCACAGTTACACTGCAAGTCATTATATTAGCAGACCACCTTTTGGGAACTGCTGCATTGAGGTGTGGTGTGGACTTGGGATGGGCACAGGAGGCCTCTGGCCCTTTAAGTATTGATTAAGAGACAACCTTTAAAGCTGGGGAGTAGGGCAGGTTAGTGCTGGTTTTTTCTTTACATCCTAGTGGATCAGGTAAGGGAGTGGGTCCTGGGATGGACCTCTCCTCTGACGTAATTTCAGCCTCCTCCAAATAAGTACTCTCTTGTTCCCCACCCTGGAGAGCAGGATGGACAGACTGACTTATTCCTGCTACTGTTTCTGTTTGTTTTGATGCAAAGAGGCCAAGTTAGGAGACCTCCCTAAATCCAGGAGCTCCTCCAGAAGAAGCAACACAGAATCGGCCTGCCTGCCTTTGTGTTTGTGTTTTTTTTTTTTTTTTTGTTTTTTTTTTTTTGCTATTTTCTTGCCCTGCCTTTGCAGCTGTGGAGCCAGGATGTGGTTATCTGTGTGAAAGGAAAGGGTCACAGTGCGTCTTTTGGATGTGGGCTGGAGTGTATTGCTGAACGCCAATCCATTCAGGATGGTCCTCCTCAGCATCCTTAGAATCCTCGTTATTTGGGGCCTGGTGCTTTTTATGGAACACCGTGGTCAAATGGCAAAGGTAGGGCAGCCATCCATGGCCCTCCTGGCTGAAGCGCCCACCTTGCCCCTGATTTGGGAACTGCTAGAAGAAGTCCCTGGCAAGCAGCAGAGCAGACCACGTGTCCTAGGGCATCCCTTGCGGTACATGCTGGAGTTGTACCAGCGTTCAGCTGACATGCGTGGGCACCCTAGGGAGAACCGCACCATCGGGGCAACCATGGTGAGGCTGGTGAGGCCCTTGGCCAACGTGGCAAAGCCTCTCAGAGGTGAGTTATCATGCACCCATACTATCTTCTGGAGGGGAGAAGAAAGGGTTTCTGTGAGTTTACTGTCAAGCTTCCTTACCTGGTAGGTGGGTTGTTTTCACAAACTTGGTTTTCAAAGGATGGCAAGCTTGGGGACAGCTGGCTCCAAGGGTACTTCCCTTTAGGGTCCCGACTTAAAAACAGATTGCCTTGGGGCCTGCCTGAAGACTGTCTCTCAGGCCAGGACAACTGATCTCCTGCCTTTCAAAGAAAGTCTTATTACAGGTTATATCACTGAAAACTGTAACTGGAAATATCCAGATACATCGTTGCGGAGGATAGGGTTGTTTGTGTTATTTTATTTATTTATTAAAGATTTATTTATTTATACAAGCACTGGGTACAGTCAGAAGCGTGGGAGGGTGAGAAAATTCACCAGAGCGGGGAGCAGAGCAGGCAGAAGGACCGAAGTACACTGCTGAGGGGAGCAGCGGGCAGCAGGAGAGGTCTGCGCGCCATGTGGGACCCTCCTCCGGTGGCCGGGGAGCAGCCGGGGATCGAATCGGCGCTGCAGAGGCCATGGGCAACTTCGCAACCCAGTGCTCAACCGCTGCGCCACCGGGGAGGCCCTGTTTGTGTTATTTTATTAGTAGAAGGCAAAGAGTACAGGATGCTGAATTGGAATGTATAAGGCCTCAGAAAGGACAGAAACATGCTGAAATCTGAGGGCCTGAATACCTGGCATGGTGAGCATCCACTATTGTATTTAATCTTTAACAACAGCTACTCTCATTAGTTATCATGGAGCAATTAACATAATCTTTAATTTTTATCTCCAAAAGGGCAGTTTCATTATTAAAAAAAAAAAAAAAAGGAAAGCCTTGCACAGACACAAGCAGGCAGAAGGAGCTGCTTCTGAAAGAAACAGGCTTGTTAAGAGACGCCTTCTAGACACATGAGGTCCATCTTTGGAGAGTGCCCCAATTAGCATAATCTTTGAAGATAAACTAAAGTTTGAGAGGTTAAATAACTTGCAAAGATTACACAGACAGTGGGTGACAGTATTTGAGCTTAAGTCTGTCTGATTCTAAAGCTTGTCCCTAATCTGTTTAAGTGTTTAACTGTAGTATCCCAATATCCTTGTTTATGTAGCTTTTCTATTTCAATCATGTTGCTACTTTGGGTTTTTTGGTGCCAAATATATTTTGAAATGTTCTTTGTTTCCATCATGTTTGAATCTGTTTTAAACATCTGCATTAGACACTTTTCCAGGACAGCAGTGGGTCTTGAAGTAGAGAGGCTCTTTAGGGAATAAAAACAGCCATCAGGGCCTCCCCTGGTGGCGCAGCGGTTGAGCGCTGGGCTGCGAAGCTGTGAAGCAGGGCTGCGAAGCTGCCCGCAGCCTCTTCAACGCCAGTTCGATCCCTGGCCACTGGCAAGGGTCCCACATGGCGCGCAGACCTCTCCTGCCATGCCCTCTGCTCCCCTCAGCAGTGTTCTTCGTCAGTCTGCCTGTTCTGCTCCCTGCTCTGGCTCTGGTGAATTCTCTCACCCTCCTGTGCTTCTGACTGTACCCAGTGCTTGTATAAATAATAAAAAACTTAAAAAAAATAAAAACAGCTATCAACTTTAAGGAAATCTTGGGAAACTCGTGAGCTGTCTTAAGCCTTTGCTAGTCTTGGAGATGATTGCAGATTTAAACAACAAATATTCCTTCTGGTTTAAACAACAAATATTCCTCCGGATAGCTCTTACTGTGAGCCAGGCATTGGGCAAAATACCTTATAAGCATTATCTTGCTTAATCCTCACCACTGTCACACCCACTGAACAGGTGAAGAAACTGAGGCTCTCGGTGACTTGCTGTAACACACAGCTACTAATCAATACAGCTGGCTGTCAAGACCAGGCTTTCAGGCCCCAGAGCCTACGTTTTTAATCATCCTGCTGTGCTGACTCCTAACAGGTTTTAACTAACAATCAGTGTATTTGGGATGGATATAAGGGGTAAATAACTGCTTCCCTAAACTTTAGGCATCCCCACTGTAGTAGTATGGGTAGGCAATCACATATAGTATTATACAGCATGACAAATACTTTGTAAAATATACGCGGTAGAGCTCCTAGGACTCCAGCAAAGAAATGGGTCGCTAATTTAAGCCAGGAAATGGAAGGCTCAATGGGTAGGTAATTTTGAGCTGGATCTTGGCATTGCATAGAGGCAGAGAAGAGAGAAGTGTATTCTAATTAAGGGTAAATAGATTGGTGTAGGTAGAGATTCACTCAGCAAATAGTTGGTCAGCACCTAATCAGTGTCAGGCACTGTTCTAGGTGCCTGCATGCAGATGTGATCAGGATAGGCTGTTGTTGTGGGTGAGACAAGTAAACACAAATGACTGCAAATTGTGAGTGCTATTAAATAATGAACTAAGCTGTTTTGATAAAGAATATCACAGAAATCCTCTTTTTAGGTGGGATTGTCAGAGAAGGCATCTTTGAAGAGGTAACATTTAAACTGAGGTCTGTAAAATAATGTCAGGTCTGAAAAGAGTAGAGAGAAGTCTGATTTAAGCAGAGAGAACAATGTGTACAGAGGTCTAGATGGCAGAAACAATTTCCTCTGACTTGAACAGAAGGAAGATCCCTATGACTGGAGCCTCGTGAACATTGTGGAAAGTGGTAGGACATGTGACAGATGAAGCGGAGGGATGTGTAGGCCGTTATAAAGATCTGGACTTTATTCCTAAGTATAGAAGCAAGAGCAAGTGGCACAAATCAAGTTTGTACAGAGGGTGCTTAGAATTAGGCCAGTTCCTAGTCTGACTGGGGGACATACTGGTATTTAGGGATTCTGAGAAGGATCCAGAAACAGATGACAAGAGAGCAGGCCCTGGTCTTTCCATCAGGAGATGATCCAGCAGAGTTGAACTTGCCAGGAGAACTATGCCAGGTTCAAGCACACAGGATGTGTGAGTCAGCCGTTTCCTTGAAAAGTTCTGAGCAGACCCTTCCTGGCTCTGATCCTTAGCAACCCTGCCCTGCTCCAGGAAATAATGTTATGTCAAGGTCTGAAAGGAAAGGGCAGTTCCTTACCAGACAGCCTGCTAGAGGTTGGGTTGGGTTCCTTTTCAGGCAGGGTGGGGTAGGTGTATGGGTGGGCCTTTTGGAAAGATTCTTGTAGGAATGGAGTGTGGAATAACTTGAGAAAGTAAACACAGCCTGACTTTGGCCTTGTGTGGATGATGCCTAGTAGCCCAAACTTAGGTATATCAAGCATGAGTTGCAACCTAAGCTTTAAAAATTTTATCCTGATGAACCAAGACATTAAAAATCTCACAAGGACTACACCTGAGAGAAGAGAGCATACATTGTACAAAAATGAAGAATTATGTAAATATATATAAAATAAAATTTTAGAAAATTTAAAAAGAAATTAAAAATTTCCTGTGTTGAGTTCCCCAAGCCTGCTGAAGAATTCCAGGCTCGTAGTTCTGTGGAGAAGGATGATTAGATTAATGAGATATAAATTAACACAGAAACGTTTAGCAATACGATGTATAAGGACTAAGAAAGGTTTTCTTTTACCCCTATAAAACCTAGTTTTTTTTGTTTGCTTGTTTTAGAAATCCTGCCATTGTCTTTATTTTATTATATTATTTATATGTTTTTATATCATTGTTTACATCATTGTTCATTGTTCACTCTCGGGTGTAATCCCTCCAAAATTCCCACCACCAAGACACCTGTGAACCATCACCATAGTTTCTTGTGCTTATCTCTCCAGTTTTGATTCCTCTCCCTTCCCCTCCTCCTCCCCTGCTGAATGTCTCCAATTTATTATTTGCCCTCTCGTTTTCTCTTTTTTTTTTCCTGATCCCTTGTATGTTTTCCCTCTGTTCCTCCTATAAGTGAAACCATCCGATATTTTTCTCATACCTTCTTTGTAATCTGTGACATTTGCCAAATGGGGGCACAGTTCAGAGTTCTGCAGCCCAGGCTTCTAACCCTTTAACCACTGGGTGTCAGCATTGCAGTTTGGATTATAACTCTTTTTTTAAAAAAAAAAAATACTTTATTTTATATAATTCTTACATCGTATTCATCTTTGCACAATGTATGCATTTTCATTTGGGTTATATTCCCCATACAATTGCACCTCCCCCCTTATTTTGACTCTAGTCCTTCCTTTCCCTGTTGCACCCTCCCCCCTACCCCCACCCCATAGTGGGTCTCTGGTATATAGTTGCTTGTTGATTTTGATTTTTACTTTGTATTGATTAGTCTTTTTCCTGATCTCTTATTTAGGTTTTCTAAATTCCTACTATGAGTGAGACCATCCGGTATTTTTCTTTTTCTTTCTGACTTATTTCGCTGAGCATGATCCCTTCTAGCTACATCCATGTTGCTGCAAACTGCATGTGTTTATCTTTTTGATTGCTGAGTAATATTCCATGGTGTATATGTACCACATCTTCTTGATCCAGTCATCTATTTTTGGGCATTTGGGTTGTTTCCAAAGCTTAGCTATTGTAAATTGGGTTGTTTCCATAGCTTAGCTATTGTAAATAGTGCTGCTATAAACATAGGCGTGCAGGTGCCCTTTGGAATTACTGTTTCTGTGTCATTTGGGTAAATACCTAGGAGTGGAATTGCTGGATCATAGGAAAGCTCTATGTGTAGTAGGTCAAGAAATCTCCACACAGCTCTCCATAGTGGTTGGACCAGTTTGCACTCCCACCAGCAGTGCAGGAGAGTTCCTTTTTCTCCACAACCTCACCAATATTTGTTGTTGCTAGTTTTTTTAATATGTGCCATTCTCACTGGTGTGAGATGGTATCTCATTGTAGTTTTGATTTGCATTTCCCTGATTACAAGTGATGTTGAACATTTTTTCATATGCCTGTTGGCCATTTACATTTCTTCTTCAGAGAAGTTTTTAGCTCTTCTGCCCATTTTTTGACTGTATTATTTTCTTCGTTTTTGTTGAGTTGCATAAGCTCTTTGTAGATTTTTGTGATCATTCCTTTATCATTAGTGTTGTGGGCAAAAATATTCTCCCAGTCGTTGGGGTTTCTCTTTGTTTTGGTTATTGTCTCCTTTGCTGTGCAGAAGCTCTTTAATTTGATGTAGTTCCAGCTGTTTATCTTTGCCTTCACTCTCACTGCTTTGGGTGATGTGTCTGTAAAGATGTCTTTGATGTGCCTGTCATGTAGTGTTTTGCCTATATTTTCTTCTATGTATTTTGTGGTTTCAGGTCTTATGTCTAGTTCTTTAATCCATTTTGAGTTGGTTTTTGTGCATGGTGTGAGGTAGTAGTCAAACTTCATTCTTTTGCATGTAGCGACCCAGTTTTCCTAGCACCATTTATTGAACAAACTTTCTTTGCTCCAGTGCATATTCTTTGTTCCTTTGTCAAATAATAGTTGACCATAAATCTGTGGGTTTATTTCTGGATTTTCTATTCAATTCCATTGGTCCGTGTGTCTGTTCTTGTTCCAATACTATGCAGTTTTGATGATTATGGATTTGTAGTATAGTTTGAAGTCTGGGAGTGTAATGCCTCCATTCCCTTCTCTCTCTTTTTTTAAGATTTATTTTTTTTATTTATTTATACAAGCACTGGGGACAGTCAGAATTGCGGGAGGTTGAGAGAATTCACCAGAGTGGCGAGCAGAGCAGGCAGAAGGACCGAAGCACACTGCTGAGGGGAGCAGCGGGCAGCAGAAGAGGTCTGTGCTCCATGTGGGACCCTCCTCCGGTGGCTGGGGAGCAGCCGGGGATCGAACCGGCACTGAAGAGGCTACAGGCAGCTTCGCAACCCAGCGCTCAACAGCTGCGCCACCGGGGAGGCCCTCCCTTCTCTCTCTCTCTCTCTTTTTTTTTTTTTTCAGAAGAGCTTTGGCTATTCGGGGTTTTTGGTGATTCCATATAAATTTCATCAATAATTGTTCTATTTCTTTGAAGAATGTCATTGAAATTTTTATTGGAATAGCATTGAATCTGTAGTTTGCTTTTGGTAGGATGGCCATTTTGATAATGTTAATTCTTCCAATCCATGAGCAGGGGATGTCTTTCCCTTTTTTTGTGTCTTCTTCTATTTCTTTTAACAGTGTTTTATAGTTTTCATTGTATAGGTCCTTTACCTCTTTTGTTAGATTTATTGCCAAGTATTTGATTTTTTTTTTGTTTCGATAATAAAAGGGATTTTTTTTATTTCTTCTTCAGATTTATTGTTTGTGTATAAGAAGTCTACTGATTTTTGTGTGTTGATTTTGTATCCTGTCACTTTACTATACTGATTGATTATAACTCTTAATCACTAAGAGGCAGGCACCCTATAGTAGAATTCTTAGCAAACAAAATATTTATATGACTAAGGGCTTGTTGAAAATGGCATTTAGGGGAATGGTGGTACAATGAATGGGGTAAATAAATAATCATTTCCAGTGAGGATTGGAGAAGAGGTTGATTGAGGGGAAGAGGGAAACAACCCAAGAAGAAAAACTGCCCAAGAAGCAATTCTTTTTAAAAAATTAATTTATTATTATTATTTTTATTATATATATATTTTACATCATTTCTCATTGTTGCACAATGTATGCATTTTCACCTTGGTTCTAGCCCCCATAAAATTCCCACCACCCTTGTTTTGATCCTGCTCCCTCCTCCACTCCCCCTGTAGTGTATCTCTGGTTTATAGTTGCTTATTGATGTTGATTTTTACTTTATTATAATTACTCTTTTTCCTGGTCTCTTATTTAGGTTTTCCATATGATCCAGCAATTCCACTCCTAGATATTTACCCAAAGGACACAGAAACATTAATTCCAAAGGGCACCTGCATTCCTATGTTTATAGCAGCACTATTTACAATAGCTAAGCTATGGAAACAACCCAAATGCCCAAAACCAGATGACTGGATCAAGAAGATGTGGTACATATACACAATGGAATATTACTCAGCAATCAAAAAAAAGATAAATGTATGCTATTTGCAGCAACATGGGTGGAGTTGGAAGGGATCATGCTCAGTGAAATAAACCAGAAAGAAAAAGAAAAATACCCGATGGTCTCACTCATAGCAGGAATTTAGAAGAAGCAATTCTTAAAGTAGAAAGCAATAATGGCAGAATAGCAGCCCCCAATAGAGGGGCACAGACAAAATTATTCTGTGGCCCCTCAACCCTGTGTATTTTAAACTCATTGCAGCCCATATTCTCCAATATTGGACTAGCGCCCCCAAACTGCATCTGATAGGTGACATGAGGACATGTTTTATTAAAAAATTCTTAAAACAGTTTTTGTATTATATAACATTGCATTTTAACACTATACAAGTTTCAGGTGTGCCTCATTATAAATCATCATCTATATTAAATTATACTATATCATCAGTAAAAGCACAATTCTATCCTTCACTAAACAATTGATCTCTTGGACCTGATTTACCCACCCCCAGACTCCCTTCCTTTCTGTTAACCACTTATTTGGTCCTATAGTCTAAGGGTTTATTTTCATCTTATTGAGTTCATTTATTTTGTTTCTTTATGTACCATATATGAGTAAAATCACAGTGTTTTCCTTTATCCACCTGACTTATTTCACTAAGAATAATACCCCCTGTGTCCATCCATGTTGTTGCAAATGACAGGATTTTCTTTTTTTTTTTTTTTTATAAGGGAGTAGTATTCCATTGTGTGTATATACCACCTCTTTATCCAATCATCTGTTGTTGGGCACTTGGGTTGTTTCCAACTCTTGGCTATTGTGAATAATGTCACAGTGAACTTGGGGGTTCACATATTTCTTCAAATTAATGTTTTGGCATTCTTCAGGTAAATACCCAGAAGTGGGATAATTAGATCATGAGCAATTTTCATTTTTATTTTTTGAGGAATCTCCATATTGCTTTCCATAATGACTGCACCAATTTACATTCCCACCAACATTGCACAAGGGTTGCTTTTGCTCATTATCCTCACCAGCTCATGCCTCTTGTAACTTTGTTATAGCCAGACTACACATAGTTTCACAGGTGTGAGGTGATAGCTCATTGCTATTTTAATTCCCCTAATAATAAGATAATGTAATTCCCTAACGATAAGAGATGATGAACATATCTTCATGTGCCTACTGGCTATCTGTATGTCCTCTTTGAAGAAGTTTCTATTCAGATCCTGTGCCCACTTTTTAATTGGCCATTTGGTGGTTGTTTTTTTTTTGTTGTTGTTGTTGTTGAGCTATATGAGGAGTTTATATATTTTTCAATATTAACCCCTTGTGGTATGTGTGAATCTCAAATATCATCTGCCAGTCTGTAGGTTGCTGTTTTGTTTTTAAAGTGGTTTATTTTGAGGAACCAAAGCTTTTCAGTTTGATGTAGTCCCATTTATTTTTGCTTTTGTGTCCCTTGCTATTTGGGTTGGTGGACACATTCTAAATGCATTTGTCTCAAAGATTTTCTTAATTGGTGACCCTTAAGAGTCAACTAATAATATGATTGAGCCTTTCCCATACACACAATATATACACAACTAAGTCTGTATTTAGGTTGATGCTGTGAGTGATCTAAAAATGAGACAGTTTTTCTTCTTGAGGGACACAGACTTGGGTTCAAATCTTGATTCTGCTATACACTGGTTATGTGCCCTCTGGCATAGCTCCTCTGAGCCTCATTTTCCTTGTCTGCACAATGGAAATATCTATCTCACCAGGCTATTACACAGAACTAATGCATGTAAAGCATCTAATATGCCAGTAAGTGTTCCATAAACGCCAGCTGTTGTCATGATCTCCAGTTAATTTTAGAGCGGCTTACCGCTCTGTTTGTACTGAGCAGTTTTGTGAGAGAGATGCAGGCTATGAGACAAGAAGCTAATGCTCTCATTTTCCTCCCTCTTATACAGGCCCCTGGTATATACAGACTCTGGACTTTGCTCTGAGACCAAACGGGGTGGTGTACCATCTAGTCCGAGCCACTGTGGTTTACCGCCATCAACTCCACCTAACTCGCTACCACCTCTCCTGCCATGTGGAGCCCTGGGTCCAGAAAAAGCCAACTAACTACTTTTCCCCTTCAGGAAGCGCTTCCTCAAAGCCATCCCTGCTGTCCAAAGCCTGGGTGGAGATGGATATCACACAGCATATTCAACATAGGCTCTGGAAGCACAAGGGGCGCAGGATTCTCCGGCTCCAGTTCATGTGTCAGCAGCAAAAAGGTACTGAAGTTGTCGCGCACCGCTGGCATGGCACTGCATCCTTGGACATTGCCTTTTTGTTACTCTACTTCAACGATACTCATAGAAGTGTTCACAAGGCAAAACTTCTCCCCAGGGGCTTGGAGCAGTTCATGGAAAAGAGTTCTTCTCTTCTCCTGCGGAGGGCCCGGCAAGCAGGCAGCATTACGCCTGAGGTTTCTGGCCCCTCCCGGGAGCGTGATCAGCCTGAAAGCAGCCAGTGTTCCCTCCACCATTTCCAAGTCAGCTTCCACCAACTGGGATGGGACCACTGGATCATTGCACCTCATCTCTATACCCCAAACTACTGCAAGGGGACCTGCCCTCGAGTACTCCGCTCTGGTCTCAATTCTCCCAATCATGCCATCATCCAGAACCTTGTCAATGAGCTGGTAGACCAGAGCGTCCCTCAGCCCTCCTGTGTCCCTTATAAGTACGTTCCCATTAGTATCCTTCTGATTGAGGCAAATGGGAGTATCTTGTACAAGGAGTATGAGGACATGATCGCCCAGTCCTGCACTTGCAGGTGACGACAAAGGTATAGCAGTGTCAAGTGCCCCAAGCAATTGGAGAAGGATTGAAAATAAAGAAATACATATCAACATTAAAGCTTCAAGTGATCCTTTACCCATTCTATGGGCTCTATATCTTCCTTTATATGTCGTTATTTAATCCTCCCCCCCCCCATTTATAAGTGCCTCACTTTATAAAACCGCTTCTGGTACCAAACACCAGCACATGTAGGCCACTATCTTGTGCCCTTGCTGCTTGGTTAAGATGTTTCTTTTGGAGCTGCCTCTCTAGTGTGACTTTATTGTGACTTTATTGTCTTCTTTATTGTGATGTTGACAAAAGTCACCAGTCCATGGCGGGCCAACTTTAGGAATGGTCCCTCCAAGACCTGGGGAAGCAGGAGTCTTCCCAGAGTCCATCTTCCAAGGCTACTAACAAGATTTGGGGTAAAGAAAACAACTGGAGATTTTATATTCTTCCTTGTCCCCCATGTCCTAGAAACTAGTTTCTGATCAGTAAGTCTGCTTCGGAGTTTAGAGTGCCTGCTAAGTCTAAGACTAACTTTTCTCGGGTGGGTTTGTGAACATTTAGGCAATAATCTCCCAAGATATTTTGAGGGGAACAGAAAGAAGGAAATCTTTTTTTCTAAGGTATCAGACATTTTCCTCTCAGTTTCTTTTTTTTCTTTTTTTTTTAAATAATGAATTTTATTTTTATATTCCCCCATACAATTGCAAATGCCCCATTCTGACCCCCTATCCCTCCCCTCCCATGCCCCACCCCCCAAAAACTGTCTCTGGTTCATAGTTTTTAGTTGATTTTGATTTTCACTTTCTTATAGTTATTCATTTTCCTGGTCCCTTAAGTTTTCTAGATTCCTGCTATGAGTGAGACCATCCGGTATTTTTCTTTTTCTTTTTGGCTTATTTCGCTGAGCATGATCCCATACAGCGCCATCCATGTTGCTGCAAATTGCATGTGTTTATCTTTTTTGAATACTGAGTAATATTCCATGGTATATATGTACCACATCTTCTTGATCCAGTCATCTATTTTTGGGCATTTGGGCTGTTTCCAAAGCTTAGCTATTGTAAATAGTACTGCTATAAACATAGGGGTGCAGGTGTTCTTTGGAATTGATGTTTCTGTGTCCTTTGGGTAAATACCTAGGAGTGGAATTGCTGGATCATATGGAAGCTCTATGTTTAGTAGGTCCAGAAATCTCCACACAGCTCTCCATAGTGGTAGGACCAGTCTGCACTCCCACCAACAGTGGAAAAGAGTTCCTTTTTCTCCACAACCTCGCCAACATTTGTTGTTGCTAGTTTTTTTTAATTTGTGCCATTCTCACTGGTGTAAGATGGTATCTCATGGAAGTTTTGATTTGCATTTCCCTGATTACAAGTGATGTTGAACATTTTTTCATATGTCTGTTGGCCATTTGCATTTCCTCTTCAGAGAAGTTCTTTTTAGCTCTTCTGCCCATTTTTGACTGGGTTATTTTCTTTGTTGTTGCTGAGTCTCATCAGCTCTTTGCAGATTTTTGTGATCAGTCCTTTATCATTAGTGTTGGGTGCAAAAATGTTCTCCCAGTTGGTGGGGTTTCTCTTTGTTTTTGTTATTGTATCTTTTGCTGTGCAGAAGCTCTTTAATTTGATGTAGTCCCAGCTGTTTATCTTTGCCTTCACTATCACTGCTTTGGGTGATGTGTCTGTAAAGATGTCTTTGATATGCAAATCACGTAGTGTTTCGCCTATATTTCCTTCTATGTATTTTATGGTTTCAGGTCTTATGTCTAGTTCTTTAATCCATTTTGAGTTGATTTTTGTGTATGGTGTGAGGTAGTGGTCAAGCTTCATTCTTTTGCATGTAGTGACCCAGTTTTCCCAGCACCATTTATTGAACAAACTTTCTTTGCTTCAATGCATAGTCTTTGCTCCTTTGTCAAAGATTCGTTGACCATAAATCTGTGGGCTTATTTCTGGATTTTCTATTCGATTCCATTGGTCTGTATGTCTGTTCTTGTTCCAATACCATGCAGTTTTGATGATTATGGCTTTGTAGTAGAGTTTGAAGTCTGGGAGTGTGATGCCTCCATTTCCTTCTTTTTTTTTCAGTAGAGCTTTGGCTATTCGGGGTTTTTTGTGATTCCATATGAATTTCATCAATAATTGTTCTATTTCTTTGAAGAATGACATTGAAATTTTGATTGGAATAGCATTGAATCTGTAGATTGCTTTTGGTAGGATGGCCATTTTAATGATGATTATTCTTCTAATCCATGAGCAGGGGATGTATTTCCATTTCTTTGTGTCTTCTATTTCTTTTAACAGTGCTTTATAGTTTTCTTTGTATAGGTCCTTTACCTCTTTTGTAAGATTTATTCCCAATTATTGGATTTTTTTTTGTTTCAATAATAAAAGGGATGGTTTTTTGGATTTCTTCTTCTTCAGATTTATTGTTTGTGTATAGGAAGTCTACTGACTTTTGCGTGTTGATTTTGTATCCTGCCACTTAACTGAATTGATTGATGAGTTGAATAAGTTTTTCTGTGGAGTTTTTGGGGTTCTCTATGTATATTATCATATCATCTGCAAATAGTGATAGTTTGACTTCTTCTTTTCCTATTTGGATTCCTTGGATGTCTTTCCATTCCTTATAGCTTCAGGAAAATAATTAGGAGTAAATTTAAAGTGTAACACATGTGCTGAAAAAAATGACAAAACTTAAAAATAATAAAGTTCTAAAAGTTCTAAAGTTTATTGAAATATATTCCATGTTTATTAATCATGGTATTTTATAATATTAAATAACAATATCTAAACTAATCTACAGATTCAACCCAGTCCCTAATCAGAAAAAAAAAAATCCACTGATATATATTTTTTTTTTTTTAGAAATTGATTTTGTGACCCAAAAGATCATGTGAAAATACAAGTGACTCCAGGAATCCAAGGAGTCACTTGTATTTTCACATGATCTTTTGGGTCACAAAATTAATTTCTAAAAAAAAAAAATGTCAGTGGATTTTTTTTTCTGATTAGGGACTGGGTTGAATCTGTAGATTAGTTTAGATATTGTTATTTAATATTATAAAATACCATGATTAATAAACATGGAATATATTTCAATAAACTTTAGAACTTTTAGAACTTTATTATTTTTAAGTTTTGTCATTTTTTTCAGCACATGTGTTACACTTTAAATTTACTCCTAATTATTTTCCTGAAGCTATAAGGAATGGAATTGTTCCCTAAATGCCATTGCTGGGCCATTAATTGTTAGTGGATAGTGTGTTCATTTTTACATATTGAACTTGTACCATGCCAAAGTCATTTATTTCTGATGATACTTTGAGTGATTTTTTTAGGATCTTCTGTATACAAATTCATGTTATCTGTGAATACATCTACTTTTTTTGAACAAAAAGAATTTTACTTTATTATTTTTTAAAGGGATGACATTTATTTTTTACATTTATTTATATATATTTTATGTCATTGTTCATTTTTGTACAATGTGTGCTTTCTCCTCTCAGGTGCAGTCCCTGTAAAATTCCCACCATCAATTCACCCATGAGCCATCACCATATTCCTTTGTGTTTCTTTCTCCTCTGTTTTGATCCCTCTCCCCCCACCCCCTGCAGAATGGATGCCTTCTTTTTTTTTCTTGCCTAGTTGCTCTGGCTAGAACTGCAAATACAATGTTGAATAGTAGTAGTAAGAACAGACATTCTTATTTTGTTCCCAATATTAGGATGAAAACACTGAGCTTTTCACCAATAAGTGTGTTGGTAACTGTTTTTACACAGATACCTACCCAACCCCAATACTTACAGTTGTCAACACAGTGTGGTATTAGTGAAATAATAAACAAATAGATCAATGGAATATGATAGAAAGCCCAAGAATAAAGCTACACAAATATATTCAATTAGTCTTTGAGAAAGATTCATAGACAGTTGAATAAAGAACAATCTTTGCAACAAGTGGCAGTAGAATAACAACACCCACAAACAGCAAGTGAATGTGGACAAAGACCTTAAAATTTTCACAAAAAAATAATTGGAACTGGAACATAGAAATAAGTTGTATTTTGTTAAAATTAAAACTGAGACAGACACAGTTAAGAGAAAATAAAGACAAGCCACAAAAACATTACATAAAGGTCTTGCATCCAAAACACACAAAGAACTCTATTTAAAAAAAAAGATTATTTATTTATGCAAGCACTGGGGTACAGGCCAGAGACGTGGGAGGGTGAGAGAATCCACTAGTGACATAGCAGGGAGCAGAACAGGCAGAAGGACGAGAATACACTGCTGAGGGGAGCTGCGGGCGAGATAGGAGAGGTCTGTCTCGCCAAGTGGGAATCTCCCTGGCCTGCCAGGAATTGAACCGGCACTGCAGAGGCTGCAGACAGCTTCACAGTGATGCGCTCAACTCACTGCGCCCCTGGGGAGGCCACATACAAAGAACTCTTAAACTATAAGAAAACAAAAAATAAAAATAAATGGGCAAAGTATACAAGTAGACATCATACTGAAGAAGGCATATATATGTTAAATAAATACATGGAAAGATGCTCACATCATATGTCATTAAAATAATGAGACACCGGGGGGCCTCCCTGGTGGCCTAAGGGTTAAATCTCAGCGCTATCACTGCTATGACCTGATTTCGATCCCTGGCCCAAAATACACATTGTGCAGCAGAACTCTCCTGTCTCGCCTGCTGCTCCCCTCAGCAGTATATTTTAGTAGATCTGCTTGTTCTGCTCCCTACTCTGTCTCTGGTGAATCCTCTCACCGCCCCCCCACCCACACACACACCTCTGGCCTACACCCCAGCTCTTCTATGCATAAATAAGCAAACCGTTTTAAAAAAGATAAATTGGATGTCTTCCAAATAAGTCTTTAAAAAAAAAATCTAACAACAATGAGATACCACTGCACACCAGTTGGAATGGCTAAAACCCAAAACACTGACAGCAGCAGTTGCTGGTAGGAAAGCAAAATGGTATTGCTTTGGGAAAGAGTCTTGGCAGTTATTTACAAAGTTAAACATGATCTCACCATTCCACCA